CCTCAAGTGTCTTTCTAACCCATACTCTCAATTTCCTTTATAAGGAGGAAATTCATGAAAATCATATGTCATAAATAATGTCATGAGTAATAGAAATATAAAAATTTTTTGTCACCAACTAAAACTTAGATACTTCTTTGAAATTGGGAAATTTTGATCTTAGTTGTAAAGTATTTTGTGTAAAGGTCCACTGGTTAATGAACAATATGTTGAAATTCCATAGGTACTAACTGTGCATCGATATAAGCAGATCTGTTTTTGTATTCATATAAATCATAATATATTCCAAAACCTTCTACATGAAAAGAAGAAGTTTCTTGCTTTTGTCCTCAATTCGACATTTCGATAACTGTAGGGCGTTTACAAATTGATAATATTCATTTCTTATTCCTACGTTGATTCGATATATTCCTTTGAATTCGAAATAAAAAAAGATGCCACATAGTCTGACACAATAATATTTTGGATATTTTCTAGAGAGAAAAATTAATGGCAAACAACAACTTAACTTATAAACGTGATAATATAAATTTTTCTATCGTCAACTTCCCTTATTCATGTAGCAGTAATATTATACAATTATTGCTGGTTTTTTAGGTCAATATGATGATTTAGACACCTGAGGAGTACAATATTCACCAAGCCCGAAGGGCGAGGTGAATTTTGTACTTCGAAGGTGGCTAAATCATCGTATTGACTGGAAAAAAAACAGCAATAATTGTTTTATTATATGATTCAATGATTAAATGACACACACTCATTAAGCAATCCATGCATCTTACTTGTTCACATCTACTGAAGTACTAGCCGAACATAATGAAAGAAACGGGGTTAAAAACAACCAATTGAATTTTTTAATTTTAGTTTAGGTGCAATGTAGAAAAATAAATGCCAGGCATATATATATATATATATATATATATATATATATATATATATATATATATATATATATATATATATATATATATATAGGATTGATTTCGAGAAAAGGGGGCATTAAATAGAAAAAAATGACAACCTACCTGAAAACAAATATTTGACTAGCCCCCCCCCCCCCCTTCCCAAAAGGAAAAGAATTCTAATTCTGCCAACTCAATATATTATTTGGTAGGATGAAAAGGTCTATATTTAAAAAGAGGGGAGGGGGGCTTTTATTGAATTTTTTTATCCTTAAAATTTAAATTAAAACTTACATTCTCAAAGGTAGGGAGAGGGGCAATCCTCCTGTAAACCCTCGCCCCCCGCCATAAACCCTGACCCAAGAATCAGAATCAACGTGCCTAAATGTTATATTCATTTGAGTGGAAGTCAGGTGCAAGTGAAATTACTTTCCAAAACTCTTTGCATCAATTAGGAATTTCCGGATCTATTTTTGGTCCAATGTAGAATGAATAATTCCTTATATTGACCTGGAAGGTCACGTGCAGGTCAATATAACGTATTTTTTTCTAACATTGTTGGATCTCAGCCAATCAGAGAGATGGGAATTATTCAATCATATAATAAAAAGCCATTATAAACTGCATATGGAGTCTATGTCTCCCATGGTACATGGTATTCGAATCGCAAGAACATGTTCTATGAACGAACAATTTCCTAAACGAGCCAAATAATTTGATGATACAACGATATCAACAGTCTCGTTAAAAGATACAATTTATCTTTAAGTCGATTGTTGGCTGACGTTTTTCATTTCAATTGTTAGGCCATTATTTTCACATTTAATTGTATACGGATTTTTCCGTTTACCCGATCATGTCGAAGAGCACACTGCAGGTGTGACCGGTCGACGGGATATGCTTATCCTCAGTGGCACTTGATCCCACCTCTGATGCTTTTAGATTTGTTTGTTTCAATTGACTTTTGAGATTGAATTCTTCTCGTCATCTTCATATTTTTCATTTATAGTGTTGGTACATATATATATATATATATATATATATATATATATATATATATATATATATATATATATATATATATATATATATATATATATATATATATATATACAATCATTCCTACTAACTTCAAGAATTACAACAAAATAAGGCTTTTTTATACAAATGTCCAGCAACAAAAAAGTTCAGTGAACCTTTTCACAAAAAATCTTACGACATATTTTTATCTTAAGTGAAAACTTATGATAAAAATCATTTTCACAAAAACTTTTAAGAAACTCCTAAGTGCAAAATCTGTCGTAACTTTACGAGAGCCCCAACCCTCTCTTAAGTATTTTAAAACCGATTTTATTGTAAAAATATAACAGCAAAAACCAAAATACACGTTAAATTGAACTTTTTAAAGCAACTTCCAATAATATTTTATACTTTTTTCACAATCTTTGTCGCAAAATTAAATGAAATACACTACAAAATATTTACGATGTAAGTTTCACTTAAGATTTTCGTATGACCTTCTTTTACGTCAGAATTGTGATTGTGACGTCAGATTTTAAACTTCCTCGCTTCACAAACGATTGCATTCGATATTTGTAGTCAATAATGTTTGTTATGCTGACAAATGTCAAAAACTAAGTTTTATTTTAATTTTCACCCACTTATTTAAGGATTATACAGCATATTTAGGTCGTTGCTAGGGATGAGGTCTATCGTAAGTAAAATCTTAAGTTCAATCTGCTACGAATGCGTTCGTGAAACGCACTTAAGATATGTCGCAAGAGATTCTTAAGTTAAAATCTTACGCAAAAACTTAAGATTTTTTTGTGAAAAGGGCTACAGTATTTTAGTGACTTTTAAATACAATATAAATTCTAATATTTCTACAATATATCGTTCGGTAGAAGTAATGAAATCTTTTTTTTTAACTGTAGATCACATTTTTTTTTTTTTTTTTTTTTTTTTTTTTTTTTTTTTTTTGCAAAACCTTAATTATATTTTGCTTGATAATATTTATAAGCTGGACAAAATTCCCGAATCCTGTTTATTGTTGAATATAATCTTTATGAATTAAATTGCACACATGTACAAGAATTTATAATTTGAGAGGAGACGGTTTCGTGCAAACATAAAAATTTCCTCATTTGGCATTGTAACATAGTTTCCATCTAAACATCTCTCAAACGTCGAAAAATAGCTCTTGTTTACGTTTTTCACAACACTTACAATTATATTTGAAGGTCAGGTTATATCTGAATCATCTGTATTAACTTGCATTATTTTAAATGTAATCATGTTCTGTTTTACAGATACGTTTGCAAAACTTTCTTTTGACCAGAAAGCTGTGCTTTTTTGTTTTGTGTACTCTGACCATGGTCCCCCTGACTTTACCGACGAAAACATCATGTTTCTCCTAAATGTGACACGACTGAAAACCTTTGATGAACCTAAAAGTATAACACAAAGGAAAGCCCGGCAGATTTTGAACGAACTGAAGACGCGTAAACTCTGTATGAATGAGGACGGGCTAGACGTCAGTGAGGACACTAAAGATGAAATTATGTTCTCAATGGTAGAGCGTTCCCCTGCAAGAAGTGACTTCAATTTATTTTTATTCAATTTTAATATTACATGGAAGTACTTAAGATGTCATGGCTACACCAGGAAGCCTAGAGAAAAGTGTATAATAAGTCCAGGTGAGATCGTTGATTATATCATCATACGGCGTCTACAAATGGACATACTGAATCATGTCACTATGGAGGACCCACGCATCCATAATGAAATTTTTCAAATATGTAAGTTTTTTTTTATCGAGAGTATCAAATATTCCGGTAAATTACAAGCTTTTTTACGTTTTTTTTTTTTTATTTCAGTAAAAAATATAGTTTACATTTGCAAAAAGTGTATCGATCTTTTAAATCGATTAAAATGATTTATAAAAAAAATTCCCTTCAAAAAATAGCCTTAATTTCGTTGACAAAGATAGTAATAAACCAAATTATGCCTTTTATAAGATTCTTTTTCACGTTCTGAAATGCTAATGCATGTATTTTGAATACACTATAAAGTCTTTCTCAATTGTAACTTAATAAAGAAATATTATGAAAAAATATACCATTAAATTTTAGGATTCGAAACCATTTTAGTCAAATTTGATATATACGATGGAAAAAATCTTCTCAGTTAAACTCCAATTTTTAAAGACAATAGAAAATTACGATTATAAATTCGGTCATTCTTGAAATAGTACGAAGGCTTTGCACGTAGTTTTTTCCCAAAGATACATGTGATTCTAGTTCGACTAATCAATTCCCGATTATGTGCTTTTTTATCGAGTCACTTCATTGATCTAAGCTAATTTGAGGACCAAGAAATCAATAAATGATAAAAATGCAAACTGATGAAGATGATACCATGGGATAGACCATAATTGTTTATCATTCGTTTATTACTGTCTGAGGAATTTAACAATTTGTAAGTATACAAAAAAAAAGTTAATAAAGAAGACCAATAAGATGGTAAACACAGAATGCTTCAGGTATTTTCATTTATATTTACTAAGCAGTTTAATAGTGGTAAAATATACCTACATTCTATTTAATTTTTCGACATAACAAGTATAAACACGTAGTTTCATCTCTATTGAATATATATTGTATAACATAATTTAAGTCTACGTGCATACTATCGAACGAAAAAAGACATTGTTTCTAGTGAAAAGCAGCCTCGGAATTCAGTAAACCACATATCTCTATTCCAATAGAATATCCAAGATATAAACTATACATGGAAAGTCTTCCTTATTTTCAAAAATATTTTTTGAGTAATTTAGCAATTTAAAGGTCTCGAATTTGACGATTTTTTTTTAAATTTTTTATCTAAAATAAATCTCGCTTTGATAAAACATTTTAGATAGTTAAATGTCACTAATTGGGAACATATTATGCGTTGATTTTTGACAATTATATTACTTTCAGTGAATATTCCTCATAAAATTTTAAAAGAGCAAAAAAAGGAGAGGGAGCAATTTTTGGATGATCTAAAACTAGAAGGACAATCTCTGCCCTATAGAAGTAGCTATCGAAACCATGTACAATGGCTCTCAAGGTTTTGGAGACCAAACATTGTGAGATCATGTATAGGTCTCCTACCACATCATGATATTTATGTCATAAATAATATCGCTTACAGAAAACCAAGTAAGTAAAAAGAAATGAAAATATGATAAGTATTTTTTGTTTTGTTTTGATTTGTGAGTTATAAAAAGACCCACGAATTTATGCCCTTAATTCACGGAATTGTAATTTTCAAAGAAATAACAACTTAGCTCTTTTTCGTTCACGAAATCAAATCCCCACGAACCAATCTTTTTCCTCTCGACTATTGAAAATTTGACCTCACGGAAATATGTGATTTTACGTATATATTACTCGATCAGGAGAAGAAGGGCACAGCAAGTGTGAACGGTCGACAGGAGATGCTTACTTCTCCATGGCACCTTATGGCACCTCTGTATTTCAGAGGTCCTTGTTTTCTCTTCTCCCAATTTGTATTATCTTACTTGTCTTCTGTGTATGATTACTCCTCGTTTCATCCCGTCATTTTTAGGTAAATGTCATGAACACGAAGAAACCGTCAGAAGTCTGCTGTATTGCTTATTGTTTGCCGACGATTACGTCTTAGATGTCAAAAAAGATTCGTGCAAAAACCTTCTTATGAAGATCAGAAATAGATATTTCGTAGACGCTGCTGCATCAGATGATACTGACATGAAAAATCTTCCAGATGATTACGTGGAAATGCATGACGGTTTGTTATCTTTTACTTGCAAAGAAATTCGACATGATGTCATGTATGCATTTATTACGGAGTGTCTAGTAGAAGATAGTGATCTTGAGTTTTTTCTGACTACTGCGTCACGTTGCGTGATATCGGAATACTGTAGATCGTGGAAATATAAGAAAAGAGAAGACGAGAGATGCCTTTATATACCAAACAGACCACAAAAGATGTATGACCTCTTTATAGATAAAATGGAGATGGACATCATCAAACATTGTACTGTGTCAGATAGAAGCATTCATTCTAGAATAAAGGAGCGTTGTGAGTATGGTTGAGATAACTGAGTATCTTATTTCATTTAATACACGTGATTTTGTTCATAATTGTATTCATCTTTTACAATAGAACAGTTTGGGGTAAAGCCTCCTCAGGAAACCCCGTCCGCCGGTCGTATACTTTTGAATATTTTTCAGCTTCCTCTCACAAACTGCTGAACTAATTTCAACAAATTTGGGTATAGGCCATCTATCTATGGGCAAATGGGGAGGGGGGCAAAAATTGTGCATTTCCTGGTCTCCCGGGGGGGGGGGGCTGAGGGGGGGTAATCCATAAAAGCTCTATTGTTTTCTTTAGTCTACATGGTGATAGTGACAGGTGCAAATACATAAAAGTAAATAGATCAACTTTTTAATTTTTTGATCCATGAGCATCTTATTTCTCTTGTTTTTTAGCAATTTTTCTGCATTTATCAGTTTATTGTTTTTATGTTAACATCTTAATCTATGAATCTTTAACAGTGTTTTATTACACTCAAGTTACCTTTAAGGCACTTGGGCCTCTTGTTATAATATTATAATACACCAATAAACTGCTCTTCCCTACGGAAGCGTATTAGTGCCACTTGGACACATTTTTATTTTTCATTTTCAACACATTAATCTGTAAATTTTACACTTTAATCTGTATCTGTAAATTTTACATATTAAAGCGTACAAAAGTACACTTTGATCTGTATAATTTACACCTTTATCTGTTTAATTCACATAATCAATTTGGCCCACTTCGTATACATCTTAAGTAACACGCTATAAAGCCAACAGACCATGACTCCTGCATGATAAAATTTGATTTTGATTTCTTATTAACAATAAATGTGGAGAATAATTACTTGTCAGATATTATATGTATGGATATAAAACAAATAATGAGCAATCTATTAAGATTAATATAAGTGAGACTGTAGAATATTTGAAAGAATTATGAATTCAGTGGAAGTGAAGAGCAAATCAAACACACATATCCTCTCATCGATCAATGAATATGACATTGATATCATTATACGCAAATCATTTAATGCACTCAGCAGTTCAATTATTGAAAACATAAATTGAGGTACATTCTACATGTATTATGGCAACAATTGAATAACTTATTGAATCGAAAATTTTAAATAACCAATTAATATATTAATATGAAAGTAAATGTATAAATAATTAAAGTATATGAGTTTATATTAATTTGGAACAACATAAAAATATCCTTTGATTCAATGATGTATCTTTATTGTTACGTTCTAAAATCACCGTTATTTTAACTGTTATATTTTACTTCATGATCATAGTCCCATAAACTTGCAATATCAATCTGAACTGCAAAAGAAAAGACAAAAATATTCGAAATACATATTTTAACTGTTCTTCGCTCTTTACTAAAGTTCTAAATAAATGTACTGGATTGGGAGCAGATTCCCGATATTTTAATGGGGGAAAATCACGAGGCCCATGATCAAATCGCCCATCCTCACTTATCATATTATGAAAACACTTATGAACATCTCAGTTTTATACTAATTTTTTAAATGTCACAGGTTAAACACCATGCAACGACCGCTCGATTATAACAGATTACAGTTTAAGTTTTTTCTGATTAAAGTGTAAAGTTTACAGATTAAAGTGTAAAATTTAGATATTAAAGTGTAAAAAATATAGAATAAAGTGTAAAATTTACAGATAAAAGTGTAAAATTTACAAATAAAAGTGTAAAATTTACGCATTAATGTGTACATTTTACAGATTAAAGTTTAAATTTTACACAATAAATTTTAAATTTTACAGATTAAAGTGTAAATTTTACACATTAAAGTGTAAAATTTACAGATTAAAGTGTAGAAATTGAAAAATAAAAAGTATCAAAATGGCACTTATACACTTCTGTACTTCACAGATTTTATCAAATTTTAAGTAATTCATGGTTCACCATTTACAAGACATTCCATTTTATGGTTAATTTTATTCAGAGTTGTGTAATAATTTAGTACCTTGAACATTTCAGACAACCGAGATTCTTAAAAACAACCGATTATTATATTTTTCCAACCAGTATTAAACTTTAATGTTTCACTTTCTTTTTAGCTCACCTGAGCTGAAAATTCAATTGAGCTTTTCTGATTACATTTTGTCTGTCCTTCTGATGAAAGCTTATGTGTGCTTTTCTGATTAAATTTTATCTGTCCTTCTGTTTGTCCGTCCGTATGTCTGTCCGTCTGTAAACTTTTCACATTTTCGACTTCTTCTCCAGTATCACTGGGTCAATTTCATTTTCAACCAAACTTGCCACAATGCATTCTTGGATAAAAGGAATTCAAATTTGTTCAAATGAAGAGCCACTCCCTCTTTCAGGTGGAGATAATGAAGAAATAGTGATAATTTGGTGGCATCTTTCAAAACTCATCTTCTCAAGAACAATTGGGCCAAAAAAAGTCGAAGTTATTTGAAACCTTCTTTACATAGTGTAGATTCAAGTTTATTCAAATCCTGACCCCAGGGGTAGGCTGAGACCACAATCGGATATAAACTTTTAAAATAGGAAAATATTGGGAAAAAATCTTGAAAATTCTTAAGAAAAGCAAAGCCATGTTTATCCATATTTATATGGATGCATCCTCAGTTAGTGTATATTCAGGTTTCTTCAAATCATGACCCTCGGGGGTATGGTGGGACCACAATGAGGAATCAAAGATTAAGATAGGAATATATAGGAAAAAATCTTCAAAAATATTCTCAAGAACAGCAATCCATGTTTAGTCATATTAATATGGAAGCATCTTCATGGAGTGTAGATTAAAATTTGTTAAAATCATGGCCCATGGTGTTGGGTGGGGCCACAATGAGGGATCAAGTTTTACTTATATATATATATATATATATATATATATATATATATATATATATATATATATATATATATATATATATATATATATATATATATATAATGAAAAAAAAAACTTGAACAATCGTCTTCTTAAGAACAGCAAAGCCTCATTAGAAAATCAAATGTCGGGACAACTTTTATATTTAAACTTTTTAATACTGAACTGATTTCTGCTTTTTCGAAGCCAAAATAATCAGATAAGCGATGTGACCCTTGGGACTCTTGTGTCCATATATTGGAGCAATTATTTTCACTTCAAGAATGTGTTCTATGTTTTCGATTTCTCCACACAAGTTGTCATAAAATTTTTGCACCTCGGTGTTCCATTTGCTAATTCTAAGATTATTATTCAGCAGTTTGTGTGATAATTTATAATTAAATAAGCAGTTTGTCTATCAAACAAGTAATTTTCCGAAAAATGTTAAACCATACTTATCTAGGAATGTCAAATAAATCTTTCCAGTATTTTAGAGTAGCAGGTTGTTGAAATTTCTTTGATCTTAAAATTTTGTAGAAAAAGAAGGATTTCTGAATTTTAAAATTACATTAAATATTTCCAGAAAATAGTACAGAATGAGAAATTCTAATGTTGACATTCTGAGCTTTTCTGTATTCAAAATCTTAGAGAACTTGTTTAACACTGATTTCACTATAAATGTTCACAGAAGATGTTTCTTTTGTCTAAATTGTTTTCTAAAAATTGTGAAATATCTTGTAATCTTTCATTAAAGTCAAAAAATTATTTTGTGAATAAGACATCTGATTTTATCCATTTAATTTTGTAGCATTCCATACAAAATTATAAATTATTCTATTGATTTGTTTGTAATATTCCTCAGTAGGGTTTGGAATAATATAGCTATACACTCTACTTTTGATATAAAGAGATTATTAACAACTTCTTCCATACCACAAATTGTTAATTTTGTTCCCCAGATTTAATTATATGAAAAATACTGTTTATTTTATTTTACCCATTTCTTTCCTCACAGAGAATTTTATTCTGTCCTATATCAATTTCAAGTGTTCTCACTTGATCATGTATTACTTTTATTACATAGACATTTTTGCATGTGTTTTTTAAGATCCTAGAAATATATACTCAAAATTATGTAAATTAATTTTAGGACCTACAAAACTTGAGAAATTATGTATAATATCTATCACATGTTTAAAGACAATAAGTCTCTTAGTTGGTTCATTGAATCGTCAGCATGTTGAAACATGTTAATTTTACATTGATTATTTATTTGAAAGCCTTTTACCTGTTCTGATTTTATTGTTCCTATTGACAAGATTTCAGTAGCTAGTATAAAAACATGTAACAATGCAAAAATATGAGATCCTTGTCTTATACATTTTGGCATTCTACAAGTGTTTAAAATGAAACCATTATTATCATTTACTCTTAAAGTAGGATTATTAGATAAATTTATAATCCATTTATAAAATTTGGACCAAATCAAATTTCCCTAAAGTTTGTTTCATAGATTTCCATTCAACAGTATCAAAAGCTTTTCTTCAAAAATATAAAAGTATTCTATTCTCGTCATTATCTTCACAATAATCCAATATATTTTGAATAAAAACTATATTATTATTATTACCTGTTTATTGGCTTTTATTATATACTGACTGGTGTTCATTTATGAAGTTAGATATAACACTAGCCAAAACAAATGCAATAATTTTATGATTATAGTGTGTTGGGCTGATAGGGCTGTAGTTTTTTGTTTTTTTTTAAATAACTTTTATCAGCTTATAATAAATCAGACTAATAACAGCTATTTTTAGACGATGGTGCATGTAGTTCACCACATTGTAAAAATTTTAAAAGCAATAATAACTAATTCTTTATATCATTCCAAAGTATTTTGTAAAATTCAACTGGTATGCCATCTAGACCGGGTGATTTCTTGTTATCCATACTTTTAATTGCCTCTTCTCTGAGATTAGGTCTTTTTCTACTTTAACTCCATTCATTTCCTCCAATTGAACGTACAATGAACAACAACACACTATTCGGACATAGCAACTTCACGCACCAGCTTTATTGTACCATGTACATCTAACATGTGAAATATAAAAATCCATAATTATAACACGTACATTATAAAGTTGGATTGAAAAAAAAAGATTTTGCTTTACGTATCGTCCTAAACTGGTATTTAAACAACAAATCACCTCTTATATACCATTGTTAAGGAGACCGATTCTAGAGAACTACGTGATATAACCAAGCATTCGCAAACCTTGCAACTCCGATAAAGGGATTCATTATAACAATAAGTAGAAATTGAGTTCTGTCTAATTCATTCCTGTAACAAAAGAAATCTTATGCCTCATATATTCTTTGTTCTTCAGTATACATGTAAAGCTTTCCCTTTATTTCAGTGTTTTTTAAAGTATTTACTGATGTCTTAAGACTTGGAGTTTTGTGCGTATACAATTTTTCATAAAATTTACATCGTCTCAAGATATCATTACTACTAAAGAAAGAGTGATGGTCTTGGTCAATTTTTTCTATAAAATTATTTTGTAGATGCTTATTTTCTAGTTTTAAAAAATAAGAGGAGCACTTGATCCAGTTTGCTCTAGGTCTGACATATGCTCCTTCTGATTTATTATCATATTTTTCATGTAATTTTCTTTTACTTATATTATTTCATTTAAAGATATATAATTCTTTATTCGATTTATCTACCTCTTTGTCTTGTACTCCTACTTTTAGTTTAAGAGTAGGTTATACAATACTCTCTAATAATAAGCTATACCAATTCCCATAGTTCTTGTGGGCATTTAACATCTCTAAGCACAATTTATTTTTTAACAATGTCTTTCAGTTTCTTACAGAAATCGTCATGTACTAAATATGTGCAGGTGAATTAAGGCTCGGTATAGGCATTTCTATGCAAATAATCTAATTAAAATGCTTATGAATTATATCTATTACACAGAGAAAGTTAAAACTTATCGTCTAATACATACTTGGTACCCACGACATGAGATAGCCAGTACACATTATGACGTCATATTATGACGTCATTGTTCTTTACTACACAAGATTATAATGGATATCAACAAAAATGCTTCGGCGCAAGGACATGCTCTATTTTATTTAACTGAAACAAGGTACATTTAGAAGCAAAATATTCCAAAGTTTGCTGGTATTGCTGCACAAATATCAACAGCTCAGTTGTATAATTTCTATTTGTAAAGTTTTAAGTTGAATAAGGGTAAAAAATATACAGTCCAGTATAAGTTTCCTCAAATTCCGATCAAATGAGAAAATGCCTAGGATTTGTGCAGTAGTTTTAATAATGTATAGAATATTCTTCTTAGGATTATACAATTTTTATGTAAAAATAAATAGGGTAATCCCTTGCGCCGAAGCTGTTATGTTGATGTGTTTCATAACCTCCAGTAGGTAAGATCAGTGACGTCATAAAATGACGACATAATGTGCTCTGACTTTAATATATCGTGGGTACTAAGTATGCATAAAAAAATAAATGAACCTTTTCTCTGAATAATAAATAAACCTCTTATGCGTTTTTATTAGCTCGTTTGCATAGAAACGCCTATGCCTAGCCGTAACTCACATGCGTGAAGTATTCATTTTTTTCAATATTCCCAAACTACCTCTCCAGTTTTCTGGAGAATAAAAGCTATTTTTAGCCTTGGTTGATCACTCATTCTAGCAATGTTTACTCAGGGACAGTTCTCGAGGAAAAAGAAGCCATGGATAATTAAAAAATTTCTGAAAATGAAAATTATCTATTCTGCAACATGAAGTATTGTTTGAATATTCAGCATTTGTTTTTAGAAAATAAAAAAAAATTGAGCATAGCCAACTACTCTGGAGAAACTGTTCTTCCATGCCATATATATGTCCTAGTTAAAGTGATGAAAATTATTCAAGATAAATGGTTTCCTAAACAAGTCATTGATTTTCTTATTCACTTATTACATGTATCGATAAGAGGTTGACATTATTTACATTGTAATAAATATGCTGTCGGTTTACATTTTTTCTTTCATTCTGAATATTTGTATATTTATCAAATTATTCATGATATATATCAAAATTATTAAAGATGTTTAGCTTCGAAATATGTTCACGGAGCGTCAAAATTTACTTATATACTCCTAATAAACTTTATAATGTCTCTACTTATATCTTTGTAAAGTACAGTTAAAACAAAATTCAACATTAAAAATTAAAGTTAACTATTTTTGCATCTTTTCATATGTTAAATATTGTTTTCATATACTTTTTCCTTGAACAGAAATCACCTTGCAGAATACATGTAGTTTTTTTTTTTTTTTTAAATAGATGACGTCGCAGGAACAAGTAGTGAAACAATGTTTTTGTTGCTTTTGGAGAATATTTTAAACGAAATCAAAAAATGCTGAAGAAAATCTTAAAATATACCTGCAACAAAATGAATTATCAATAAAAATCTCATCAAAACCAATTAATAACTTTATAGAAAGTTATTTGTGCTTCAGTGTTGAGAAACTTGTGAGAGGAGATTGAAGCAATTGAAGATTGTAAATACTCCGAACTAACTTTTTTACTCGAATGTTCAATCAAACTCTAAATTCTAAGTGGTATGGAATTTTTAGTATTGGTAAGATACAATAGACTTTACGTGATATTGACAGGGAGATTATTTTTCTTAGGCATGTTCTGTGGTGACAAATTTATTGATTTTTATGTTATTAAAAATAATAATAGGTTGATATTAAAATTCATAATTTAATATGTTTAACGAAAGAAGATGGAAGAGTTTTCAATGTAAATATTACAAGTCCATGTATTATGAAATCATCAGAAATTATCAGAAAGACATGCATGTATGCTGAATTCTGAATCATGTTGCTGTTACTCCCTGCCTTTCAGTGATATTCTTTGAAATATAAAATTTAGCTTTTAGTGTCGCCTGCAGAGCAGAGCTGCACTAAGGGATCACTTTACCTGGCTTCTGTCTCCTTCTGTTACACCCTATGTCTCAAGATCTCTAAGAGATATGGATTTGATATTTTGTATATATATTGCTTGGCACTATGGCTTTTGTAAATTACCATGGTTACCGACCTCAAGACCTTTGACCTTGACCCTTAACTGGACCTTTACCTACTTTTCAAAATAGCTCACAGTGACGATATACAGAATATTTTTGACATTTAAGAGGCAAGTCTATGTATTGAAGCATGTGCACTGTTTGTCATAAGACAATATGAAAAATATCAGCATTGCAGTCAACTTGATATTGACCTTTAACGTACTTTGCAAAAACTATCTCGCGCAGTTTGATTAAACTTATGACTTTTGAATTTTGACAGGCAGGGTTTAAATAATTAGCATTTATACATGTTTATAAGTTCACAATAGTGTACTTTGAAACCGTATGATAAATAATTACCAGACAAACTTATATTTTTAAATGCCATGAAAATACATCGGGTTCGGTATTCCACAACGGATCGTGTAGACTGAGAATTTCAGTAAAGACAGAAGATTCTATCGCAGACATACTATCCATGATTGCCATTTTTCTTTGCAGGCAAATGCATAAACTATCAGTCTATCATGCTTATAGTAAATAGAAAGCTGACCACTCTTAGCTTTTTTTTTACACCTTTAAAAGCTACAAAGCAGGCGACACATGCATTCCTGGGAACACTATAGTTTATTATGGCATACTATGAGATGATGTATATTTCGAAATCACGTACATGCACGTGTGCTTTAATCTGATTTGCTTATGCTCATTTTGCTATATGTGCTTTGTTATTCCCCGAAAGAATACTTTCGCAAATGCATTGTAAAAAACTATGTTACAAAGAGTTTGCCTATTTCAATGAATAAGTTGGAGGGAGGGGGGACTTCTCTAACGGAGTCCGTTACAATAGAACTTGTTAATTATGTTGTCTCTTACACTTGAATATAATTATATATTGAGATTTGACTGTAATTGCATAATTATTTACATGCAATAACGAAAACTATATATATTACTGTTGTAATTTTGCAGTGTCAGTCCCAGAAGAAATATTTAAATGGGATCTGGAGGCTAGAAAGCGATACGCGGAGTATGCTGGTAGAGGAACACAGACTGTCCATCAAGCTAGAGGGATGATTGTAGGTTGTGCTGGGGCTGGCAAGACAACGCTACTGAGACGACTGCTCAGATGGAGTGAGGAGAAAATATTGAATGTGACACCAACCGAAGGAGTAGATGTCCACGAAGAAATTTTTGAGATTGGTGAGGAAGGGAAGTTATTGAAAGGTAAAGTTTTCTCTAATTTTAAGTGTATATCGTAGGTTCAGACGTGTTTTCTAAGAAGGAGAAGATAGTTAACATCTTCAGACTTACCTAGTTTGTGTACCCCTGTCAGTTGAGCGACTTAAGGTCCAGAATTGGGTGATTGAAATTGATTGAAATTGACTTTATAGCCTCCTTGTATTATTTACATACCTTTACCTGTAAATTCCTGTAAGCTATTCCACCAGAAAATTGATTAAATGAAGTCATCAGTAACGTTAGAAATAATATTTAATTTCTTTAAATCACATTAATTGTTTATGAATGGAAAGAATGATTTTCTTTAAGACTGTTTTTCATTCAAAAATGTGATTTTTATGTAACAGTATTCACTATTATTTCATGACTCTGGTGTTTATATTTCAACATCGATCACATTACTCAGATAAAAAAGATGGTCAAATAAAGGAAAATTATAATCATGTTTCTACACATGTAGATATGATAGTTAAAAAACTGCTTATCTGTTTAACAAACAAAATCATGCTAAACTCTGAAAAATGTCACTTCAGGATTAAATTTAATTTAATGACTTATATATTGTGATGCGTTAACATTTTTCATATTTTTTGCAAAATGCATACAATAAGACGTTTATTAATGTACATTCTTATTTATTTTGATTGATTACTTCTATAGATTATGTTTTCCTCATATGTTGTTTCTATAGGTGTACTACATATTTAAGCATGTAGTATATTCCATTAACAAAACCAATTGATCAATTGAAATTCACTGAAAGTGATACAAAGAAATGTCACGAAAGAAGGAAAAACAAAACACATTTGGTTTATGTAAAGTATTTAAAGAACTAGAGTTCCTTCAGGTAATTCTTTTTTCAACAAAGAAAACTTCCGTAACACACACACACACACACACACACACACACACACACACACACACACATATATATATATATATATATATATATATATATATATATATATATATATATATATTTATATATATATATATATATATACTTTATGAAAAATCCAATTTTTTGTACAGTAAGGTTTTGATATATCCAATGAAAAAATCAAGAATCACAAGACTCGAATAATCAATTTAACTGTAAGCGCTTACTGCCTTTTAATGGCTCTTCAGACAGTTACAAAATGTAACTGTGATTCTTGATTTTTTTCATTGGATATATCAAAACTTTACTGTACCAAAAATTTTTTTTAATTGTCAATAAGATAAAAACATGTACAATATGCACTTTTTGTGTAACTATATAATTGATGTCATAATTAAAAGCAAATAAACTTTGGGGGCAATTTACCCCCTCCTCAAAATTAAAACTAATCTTAATAAGACATATAAAGATTATTTGGATCTAGTATACCGGTACGTTAAATTATGACAAAAATTAAATGCATTGACAAACTTGTAAAAAGGGTTGGGCAGTATGTACATTTTGCTCTTCTACAATTAGAATGCCTGTCCTATTCCTTTGGTGCAATGGATTTATCATGGTCAGCTCAAGCTAGACCACCTCAATTACTGTTTCATAAACATAGTCAGAAGAAAGAGGCTGGTTTTTGGAGTACTTCTCAAAACAATACATTGTTTAAATTGTTACATAACCTTAGAGGCATTTTGTGTTTTGATGACACTCTATTCAAAAGGTGGCAATTATCTGTTTACATTGTACATTAATTAGTGGGTCTCATACTGGATTTTTTTTAAAGGCTATTTTTAAAAAAGTCTTTAAAATATTATTTTAAATTAAATCTGATCTAAAATATGCATAAAAATTTAAATGTATGGTGTTTGTACTTTCAACAAAAAATATATTTAAATAGATATAGAGAGTATATTTAAATAGGTACTTTTTTTCATTCATTTCCATTATTTAAGAAAAAAATTTAATCTTAACATTTATTTCCGTGTCCATTATCATATTTTAAAATAGGTGTGTACAAAATAATGCTTTGTTATGCTATGTAATGCCAGCATTACTCTTGATTTGAGAAAGTAATGTATTACATTACCATTATATGTAATGCAATTTTATTGGCATTACACATTACTAGCATTACTGCATTGCATTACCATTACTTTTAGCATTACCAAAAGCCTTATATATATATATATATATATATATATATATATATATATATATATATATATATATATATATATATATATATATATATATATATATATATATATATATATATATATATATATATATATATATATATATATATATATATATATATATATATATATATATATATATATATTTATTTATTTATTTATTTATTTATTTATTTATTTATATACTAAAGAATATGTTGAAATATGTTGAAAGCTCAGTCCTTGGACGGTACGCAAGTCAATGAAGAAAACCTAGAAGGATATGTTAGAAAGACCTTAACGTTCTTTGATTTTGGAGGACAATGTGCATATTACGCATGCCACCAGATTTATTTGACCAGAAGAGCCTTCTACATAGTTGTTGTAGATGCTTCTAAATGCTTGGATGATGTCGTAGATGAAAATGTATGCGATCAAAAAAACAGCGTTTTCTTTGGATGGACCTATGGTGGTAAAGGAAGTCTTCTCTATTTTTCTAAATTAGTTTATAAGAATTTTTAATTTTGCTTCTAAGTTTTAGAGTCTGACTAGTAAACCTGAAACGGAATAAGTTATTCCCTTAAGTTTGAATTTGTCTTAACCTTGCACAAAGATCATTTTGACATGATCAAGATCATAAGCTTTTCTTTCCTTATTTATGCACTAATATTCCGCTATCACCTGCACATGGTATTAACGTCTCCCAACTTATTCAATACTGAAGAGCATGCTCTGAGTACGATCAATTTTTAAAACAATGCAGGCTGCTGACAGAAATGTTGATGTTAAAGGATTTCAACATCTTGGCTTAAAGTCAGCATTTCCGATATTCTTTATAATGACCTGAAGCAAATAAACCGTCACGGTCGCTCAGAGCGCTTGCTCCGTGATCGGAAGGTCGTCAGTTAGAATCTCGGATGCGACTGACCTAAGTTGATAAAAAATAGGTAGCAGCTGTTGCTTCGCAAAGCGCTCCGCACTTTGAAGTGAAAGTTCAGACCTTAAAAACGAGGACCTATCTCACGGCAGGCATTGACACGTTAAAGAGTCCCTCACTGCTTAATGGCCTTGAGTGTCGAGTAAACTTAAGGTCTTAATTTGAAGCCCTTCACCGGTATATGCTGACGTCTCTAAATGCGTGAAAAATTCTCCAATGGGACGTAAAACACCATACAATCAATCAATTGTTCATAGCAAATATATAACCTTTCATTAGATCGCATTTGGATCGTATTTTGGCTGACGTGTTTCATACCAACTACAAGTTTTTTTTTATATTACATCATGTAAATTTGATTATGGAATGTTTCGTCTACCTGATCAATACATAGGGCACACGGTGGGTGTAACCGGTCAACAGAGGATGCTTACTTCTCCTATGCACCTGATCCCACCTTTATTATTTCCGGGGGTCCATGTTTCATGCCCTGTTCCCATATTTGTATTGTTTGTAGATTTTTTTTTTTTTTTAGATAATTTACTGTTCGTTATCGTCACCTTTTTCATTAAATATTTTAAAATTCTTGTATAGTATATACGTGTAAGCTTACAATGTAAGAAAATTAGCGAATCTCATATTTGGCACAAAATAATGGTCTGAGTGTAGGGTAAGCCATAATCCTGATTTAGGATCATTTGGGAAAAGCAAATTTAACAAAAAATTTAGAAAATGGAGAATATTACTCTATTTCAAAATGTATCTGTTTTTTTTTTTTTTTTTTTTTTTTTTTTTTTTTTTTTACTTTAAATAACATTGTTTGTAACGTTTAAAAACATGAACTTCGCATAAAGCTGCTTGTCCTGAACCTTACAAGACTCATTTTGTAAAGTTGATGTCAAAAGAATGGAAGCATTAAATTCTACACTGTTCTGTTACCTTCTAATAAGAAAAAAAAATAGAAACTCAACCTTAATATAAGAAAAGTAGGCTAAGATCAAAGGATATACCTTAACCAAAGTAATTTATAAACTATACCACATTTGTTTTACAATCACATCTTTTCTTTTTATTAGAATACTTTGTTTTCTGGATAAAGTCTATTCATACATATTGTGGAACAGAATCGGAACAGGACCATCAACCAGTCGTTATCATTGTAGCTACACATTGGGAGAATGATCAACGATTGTACAAGGTTTAAAATATATTGTATTTTTCTCTTCATTGGACACAAACTAAATAAGATATGTATAAAAAAAAAATAAAAAAAAAATTTAAAACAACTCTTGCTGATTTTTTGGAAAAAAGTCTTTTATAGATATAATGCATTAGAAAAGATTGTAAAAAAGGATAAACTTTATGTCTAGTACAGGAAAGTAGTGAGTAATATTTATACTTTTTTTATGTTTTAGAATAAAGAAGAATTTATAGAGAAATTGCAAGGCAAGATACCGCGAAACGCTAATTTGCTGCAATACATTAGAGAAGACCGTTGCTTTTTAATACATTTTCCAGTAGAACCTCTTGACAATTTAGAAGAGTACATCAGAAACATTGTTAGAAACAAAAGGTGGGAAGAAAAGATTCCGAAGGAGTGGGCCTATTTTGAACTTGAAATTAACCAGAAAAAAGGTAATGAAAAAATACTGAACGAATTAGATACAGCAACGAGTATGAGCAAGAATGAGGAAGGCAGTTCAGGCGACACCATTCAAGAACAAAGAGAAAAAAAGGACATGTTAAGATTTTATCATGATACTGGAAAAATCCTGTACTTTAACGAAGAAGGCTTAGATAAATTAGTCATTATTGATGTACAATGGTTTATAGATGCTTTCAAAAAAATTATAACAGACAAACTACACATGAAAGGCATTCCCTGCTCAAAAGAAAATTTGGAGGACTACTACGAGACTGGAAATTTAAAAGATCAAGTTTTAACAGACATTTGGAAACAGATGAAAATCTTACGGGAACAAAGAATAAACGATAAAAGTAAAGATACTAAAGATGATGCAATGGATGGAAATGAAACTGAAGTCCCTGATAATGCATATTTTAAGCCTGGAATCAGCAATCATAGAGAACATCCAAAACGAGACCCTGTTAATGACCCCCGAGATTTTCTACTCTATAAGCCGTCAATCTTGACTTTTATGCAGAGACTTGGTTTGGTAGCCACTGGTGAGGAAGCTCACTATATACCATGTATGAACCATAAAATCTTTGATGAAGAAACCCAAAATGTAATTCATGAATCAAAGGTCAAAACATCCATTTTAATTTTTCAGTTTGAATTCCTTCCTTACTTTTTTTTCTTTCGCTTGGTTGTGGCCTGTATGCAAAATAAAGATTGGAAGGTACTCAAAAGTCAAAAGTCGTGCCTTTATAGAAATGCAGCATTGTTTTCGTCAGGTGACCACCACATTGCAATTGCCGCCACAGCAACTTCAATTCAGCTTCAAGTTTACCAGCCAAAACCCGAATGGTCTTTAGAGGTTCACAAAACTATCGAAATCCAGAGTGTGACCGAAAAGATATTGGAGAATATCACAGCTACTTTTCATAGGAGAATCGAATTCGTTAGAGGATATAGCTGTAAATATGAAACTGATCAATTAATAACAATGGAAGTTGACGACAGCCATTTTATCAGAGAGCAAGACATTGTGAAAGGAGATAATGAATTATGCCCAATACATCAAACTAAAGATCGTCATTTTGTCAACATGAACAAATTGACCAAATACTGGAAGAAAATATAAACAAGTAGTAAATAAATACATAGTGTTGGATTTTCAAATACATCACTGAACAAACACTATTAACTGAGCTTCCAAATGTTTTCTCCTACCACACCATTATTATGTATATGTAGTTAATTTTTGACATGGAAAGCTGACCAGAAACATAATGTTTAACAGAGCTTCTAATGCAGATTTATTCATTAAAGATTAAGCTGAAGCAATATACTCAGGGTCAAAAGTTGTTGAAGTTCTAAACTCTCTCAACGGCGAGTATTGTTTGTGATGCACAAGCAATTATTCTTGCAAAAAATTCAATGTTGTTGGTTTCCTACAGGGTGTCTCATAAGATGTTACATTTTGAACTTTCATTTCGACAAACACAAGAAAAAGATACAGACAAGTGTTCTTTTTATCAATATGATGCATGTTTCCATAAGATACATTATGTACAATTGCCTACTAAAATATTAAACACTGGACAAAATCTAAAACATTAATGAAAATTAATGCAATATCTAAATTACGTCATTTTTGTTACGTTGAATTTCACAACGCCAAAAGGCCACCTTACATGCCCTAAATGATCTCCAATATTTCGACAACAAATGAAGTTGCCTCTCGAAATTTATATAAGCTTGTCACACATTGTTGCTTAGACACTCCTCATTTGAAAGTTTATGTTTCTTTTGAGATCATTCCGTATCTGCGGTTTAGGATTGTAGACCCTGTTCCTGGAGAACCCCCACAGAAAAAGGCCCAAAGATTGAGATTTGCGAATGCAGAGGTCAAACTCTTTTTATAGGGTATTGCATGATTGAAAATTTGTACGGTGATAACTATATATCATAATTCAAGTTCAATATATGCTGGAAATGCTGATTTTGCCAGCATCAATTTCTAAAAACATCCACCTGTCACTTTTCTCAGGAGTTTGCTAAACTATCTAAGAGTCTCCATTTCACCAATTAAATCTTCGGTTCTTGAAGTTCTTAGGCTTTTTGGAGTACCTAGTTATTTATCTCATATTGTCCATCCCTGTCCTTCAACCTTCTTACAAGCCTGATGATAAACACCCTAAAAAGCTTCCATTTTTTGGAATATTTCCTTCATCAACTTCTAAATGAAAATTGGCGAAAAAAGCAGCTTTACAATTCAGAAATATGTTGATAAGTTATATGCCTATTTCAAGAAATATTCAAATTATGACATCGGGATTTATGGGGCATTAATAATTGCTATACCATGATTTTCTTAACTTTTTCATTTGGAACAAAAATGCAGAATTTGATGTTTAAAATGATAAATAGTTTGTAATAGAAATGTTAAAGGTAAGAAAAATAATTAGATTTAAAAATGAAATATATATATTATGAAATACCCAGTACGAGATATTGAGGGTAATTCTGTGAAGGCGGCAAACCGGACTGGGACTTAACTATCACCGATTTTATTATCAGTCTCTTTTACAAAGACATCATTGCAAATTCTCTATTGGACAGGTTTCTTTGTCATAAAAGATCACATTTTGTTACTGATTTTAAATACCAACTACCTAGACTTTACATCATTGCTGAATGTACCACGTATATATGTGTGTCAATGACCATAATAACTTAGTAGTATTTTATGAAGTTTTTGAATTGAATATGCAAATCGAATGAACTGCTTTTATACTCTATACCTTAGATGAAATATATGGGGATAACGAACGGTATTCAAGCTCAAAAGTTCATAAAACATTACAAAAAAGGAGCAGAGCAAACAGGCACCTCCAAAACAGAGGTGGGATCAGGTGCCATAGAGGAGTGAGCATCCCCTGCCGACCGATTACACCCGCTGTGTGCCCCTTGTTATAAAATATACAGAAATATCTGTTGACAATTCAGTGTGTAAATAACGGCCCAACAATTTGTATGAAAAACGTCAGTCAGCATTTGACTCAATGATAAATTGTATTTGCTGACAAGGTCATTGTATCGGTCATAGAACTTACGAAATGATGACTTTAAACGAGACTCCTGATATTCCTGATATTCTTGTTTCATCAACTTGTTTGTCAGTAATTTACCTCGTTTTAGAAATTGTACATGATAGAGCATGCTATTGCGTATCGAATCAACTGAGAGATATAAACCCCGTATGCAAGTGATGAAAGTATATTGCTGCATAAGTAAGGAAATTGACGATTGAAAAGTTAAAGCCGTCACGTTAATCATAAAGCTTGTATTTTAGATTACCATTAACGTCTTTTTCAAGTAAAATATCCAATATGAAACAGATGTGTCACACTCTGTGGTATCTTTTATCTTACGCTCACCGGGATATATCGCATCGACATAAGAAAATAATGGAAATGAAATGAAAAAAAATGGAAATTACCATTGTTAATTGACAATCGTCGTGGATATATCTAAATGTCAAGTTGAAGGCCACAGCAAGTATTTTCTTCTTTTTACGTATAAGATTTTGGACAAAATCTGCTTCATATGAATACAGAAATAGGTCTGCTAATAACGGGGCGCAATTGGTTACCATGGGAATTCCAACAGATTGTTGGAAGACCTGTAGCCCTTTTAACAAAAAATCTTACGACATATTATTATCTTAAGTGAAAACTTATGATAAAAATCATTTTCACAAAAATTCTTAAGAAAGTCGTAAGTGCAAAATCTGTCGTAACTTTACGAAAGCCCCAATCCTCTCTTATTTTAAAACCGATTTTATTGTAAAAATATAACCGAGAAAACCAAAATACACGTTAAATTGAACGTTGTATAGCAACTTACAATAAAATTTTATATTTTTTTCACAATCATTGTCGAAGAATTAAATGAAATACACTACAAAATATTTACGATGTAAGTTTCACTTAAGATTTTCGTATGACCTACATTTACGTCAGACTTGTGATTGTGACGTCAGATTTTAAACTTCCTTGCTTCACAAATGATTGCATTCGATATTTGTTGTAAATAATGTTTGTTATGCTGACAAATGTTAAAAACTAAGTTTTATTTTATTTTCAGCCACTTATTTAAGGATTATAAAGCGTATTGAAGTCGTTGCTAGGGATGAAGTCTGTCGTAAGTAAAATCCTAAGTTCAATTTGCTACGAATGCGTTCGTGAAACGCACTTAAGATGTGTCGTTAGAGATTCTTAAGTTAAAGATTTTTTGTGAAAGGGGCTACTGGTCTCCAAAAAACAATAGATGTTGTCAGTCAGAAGCATCTTTTTAATGTCAACTTCAGATTACTTGTGTGTACAATCAGAATGTTTTTAACAAAATAATTTTGCAAATGACCAATGACAAGGTAAGGAAATTTACGAGTTCCATTTTTATTGCAAAGGCAGCTGGCAATAATATCAAAAAGCCTGTTCTTTAATTTATCATGGGGAATAGTTGTGTATAAAGTTGAAAAGTCGTAAGTTGTTGAGCTGTTGATTTTGGTAAAATCTTGTGATCTCAAATTTTCCAAAAGTTCCTTGGAATTTTTAAGTATCCACATCTTATTTACACCACTTCTCGAATATATTGTTGCACAGTACTCTTGAAGTTTCTACTTCACTACTGTTAATATCTTAGTGAGGAGTAAAGAAAGAGGCTTGGTTGAAAATTTACTGGAACCCGCTATATATCTTTGTTTGTAAGGATTTTTATGAAGTTTCGGAATCCAATATAGATATGGTAATTTAAATTCATTTTGGTTGTTTTGAATATTAAAAATATTCAAAACTGACATATGATTTTGAAGAATTTCTTCCTTAGAAAGGGAACTATGAGTGTAAGTTGGATTACCACTTGTGGAATTAAATCCAAGTTCCTCTAAAATACATTTAAAGACGTACAACACACTGGGGGAGATAACTCTTGCGATTTCAATAAAACGTTAAACACAACGTTAAATTTGGCGTTAATTACGAAGCGTCAAAATGACGAGCGATACGATCCCGATGTAATTAATTTAAAAAAAAAATAGAATAGAGGTTTTTATTGTGGTTTCTTTAGGAATACCAAATCCTATCTTTGATCATTTGCGCAATTGCCATAAATCTCCCCCCATCCATAAAAAAGAAAAAAAAGATAAGGTCCTTAAACTTCTTTAATGTAAATTTAGTTCATTAATTCTTTAATATTGTATTTATGATATACATAAAAGCATTTTTTTAAATCTAAAAATGTTAATGCTACTCTACATTGCTTTTTTCCCGTTACAGTCGGCCGCATAACATTGAGAATAAATATTACCGGTATGTCTAAATATTATCATATTACGAAAATAAACATTTTCTTGCTTTTCTTTTCTTTGAAAAAAAAAAATAGAAAGAGTAACCGTTTTCAGAAGGTCACTGGTCAATTAGAAACAACTCTAGATCTAAAAATGTAGAGGTGTATGTCTTTCCTCCCCTTAGCTGAGTTATTTCTCCTGTTTTCCGCCGAAGAATTATGTTTTTTTCTCCTCACAAATACACAGTCTGTGACAGGTACATTTACAGTGCGTTGCAAGGAACACAAGAACTGAAAGCCAAAGTTTATACAAATTAAAGTAAGTATCAACAGTGAAAAATTACTTACTGAAACTTATACAACGGTTGCACCCCATTGAGAAAATGTTTTTTTTTTATTGTAAACAGTTTCAGTTCGCATTTCCTTGAATAAAAACAAAACGATTTATACCAATGTAGATGATACCATTGTAGATGATTCAGGCACATGAATAATTTTAATATTGATAAATAATTTACAATTTGGTACAATTGAAGTTAATATGGACGAGTACATCTTTTCCATTTATTGAAACAACAGAAGGATACAATATCCGGGGGGGGGGGGGGGGAGCACCCCTCTCGTTTGAAAACAGAAATAATTTAAAACCTATATGTACATATATTCCATTTTCATCACGAGAGAGTTGTACATACACCACTGTTGTTCACTTAAAAAATAATATTCAATGCAAGTAGAAGTCATATAAAGGTTTGAAACTACACCTGTGTGCATGAACTCCAAACCGGGCACGTGGCCATAAAATCCTAAGAAAAAAAAAGTTTTACTAAATATAAATATAAAAAATAATATTTAGAATAACATAAAATATTAGTAGTCAATATTTAATCTGTATACACGAATGAAGGACATTACTTTAAGAGTTCAATATGCCAATTATATATATTA